TTTTTTTAATCATTAAAGACACATTGAAACAATTTTTACCAATAATACTTATTATACATAACTGTTCATGTAGTTACTTCTTGGTTTTTAATCAATAAAAAAACATTAAGATTTTTTTATATAATCTTATTCCATTAAGTACTCCATAAAGATAGTTCCATATGCGCCCGTTTCCCGCGGCCAGTTGTCCCATTCCCCACACACTCAAATAGAAACATCACATGTTCTATGAATCATCTTTTTTATTCGTGTATTATATTCGAATTTATTGACTAACTCTCCTGCATTGCAGTCTTTTCATAATTACCATATCATTGGCATTATTCTAAATAAAACAGTTTGCTTAGCTATGTTGGGGGGCGGTACGTAACAGTACACGAAGGTAATAAAGGGTACAAGAGGCAAAAATGTTTGGACAACACTGCCGTAGATAGTTCACAGGATGTTCATGACTCAGTATACTTCACATCATAGCAAGTCTGTTCTGGAATGTCAAGGAGTAACTTCACATATGTAGTGTAGGCCTATGTCACCAACACATTACAGGGTGAAGTTACTGTATAGAAAGTCTAGATATTTGGCCGGCTTAAAATATTCACTATACAGAATATTCATTATACAGACGTACATACACAGAGATAAATACGTACCTGTCAGTCTAGACACGCATATCCACCGGATAGGTAGATAGATAGATAAATGTATATCTATCAGAGAGACAGATATGCATCGATTTCTGTGTATATGCATGTCCGTATATATGAATATTCAATGGGTTGGGCTTCGTCCAATTTTACCAAATTGGCCGATTGTGTTGAATTACCGGTCGTTAGCAAATTACAAAAAATGCCTCTTTCATCGTGACATTAAATGTCTCCGTCAATTTTAATCAAATATTTAGGAAAGTTATCGACTGAGAATAGAACAACTATCGCAACGGCCCCTCCCCCCCCCAAAAAAAAAAAAAAGAAAGAAAAAGAATATATATATTGACTGAAAATTCATATATATTCTTGCTCATTTCCCTAAAGCTTTTCATCTGGACAGATAGCGCATCTCAGTCTCCCTCAATTTCCCTTCCCCTCTCTCTTTCTTTCTCCCCCTCCCTCCTCTCTATTTAACCTCTCTTTTCTTTCCCTCCCTCCCATTCTCCTCTCTATTTAACTTCTCTCTCTCTCTCTCTCGCTTTCTTTCCCACCCTCCCATCCTCCGCTCTATTTAACCTCTCTCTCTTCCTTCCCTCTTCCCCT